GGACGGCGAAGAACCATACGGGATATGGCGAACAAATGGTCGGCGCGAACGGAGCATGGGATACCAGCATAGGTTTTGCGTTTTTTTTTTTTTTTTTTTTTTTTTTTTTTGTTACTTCATTTTCTTTTGTGTGGAACGTCAGTCAGTCATATGGGATGGAAATAGTAGATAATTGATCACCATGACTACACTACCCTAGGTAGCTAGCTAGGTAGCGAAATGAGAATGGATGGGATGGCGGTTATACGGCATCAGCATCAGCATCGGCATCAGCATTCCGACTCCGAATCTTTCTCCCCTGTCCTATTAAGTTGTAATTCTAGGGGTTGCATGGTGCTGTTAGTTTGTTTTGGAATGGGTTTTTGTTTCTCTACGTAGTTCACACTGGGAGATCAAGGTAGTGGGGGGATGCCTATTTCCTGCACATACAAATTTTAGGATAGATCCTGGTAGCAACTAGTGAAGCAGAGGATGGAAGTAAAAACAGGTTACTCGGCAAGATATGTGTAAGATCGTGATGAGCTTTTCTGGGGTTGCCTACAAAAAGCATGGGATTTATGTAATTATGTAACAACGAATCCACCCGGCATATCATGAAGAGAGTAGTGCTGAGCGTCGACATTTCGTCGTAAGAAATACTTCATGAACCATTGAGCTGCGAGCCCCTTCTGCTTGGAAAGACGTGAACATGCTGTAGAAGGTTCAGATGCGAAGACATTCTACAAGCGGCCTCCTCATTGGACGGGGGTGGGCGAAACTGGTGCCAGTTTTGACAAAGCCACTTAAATCAGCAACTAAGTATGGCTCCGTGTCTCCATCCCATTTCACCACGCACTACCCAAAGAGTCATTATCAGAGTCTTCCTCAAGGAAAGTATAAGGATTGGTCGCCGAAGAAGTTCTGCGCCGAGCAAAGCGGCCGAAATTGGCAGATGGCAAAGTCTCTCGATCAAGAGATGTCCCGCCGTTGGTACACCAGCCCAGTTCGAAAAAGGTTCGATGCTTATCAGAACTTGGCGAGGAGCAGTCAGATGGTGCTGGCGTAAAGTTTGCAAAGTTGCCGATCTGCTGCTCTCGGTCTCCTAGGACATACGAAGTCAAGTTAACAAGCGCATTGCCCATAAGTGCACTCATTTCACTCGCAGACTTGCAGTCCTCTGTCGAATACCCTCGCTCCTTGAGTTGCTCACTATGATCCTGAGCGAACAAGGCAACCTGGGCGCGAATGGTTTCCTCCCCGCGACTATCCCGCCGAAACCAAGCGTTGGACTCCTCCAGCCTGGCCTGGTTCTTAATCAGGCTGTCCACGTACCAGGCAGGCCGTTTCGTCAACTGAGTTGCAGGTTTGGTCAGCCCAGGTGGAGGCTTCAGAAGCTTGCTGCTCTCGCTTTTCACGGATGAATCTGGAACGTGTCCGAGTGTGTTCTTGATGCCGCTTTGTGAACCAGACCCGGATGAAAAGATCTGACTCTTGATATAGGCTGAAGCCTGTGCCTTTAGATCCAGTGTAGTAGCTCTATCGACGACATCTCGTGCTTTAGCTGATGACACTGGCCCCGAAGACTGTTTGACGTCCGCAAAAAAGGAACTCTTGTTGAGGGAATTGCTCCAAGCCCCAAAACGCCTCGCTTGATAAATATTTTGGGGCATGTATCGAGGCATTGGAGGCCAATTATTAGCCGTTGTTCCTTTATCAAGGTCTAGAGTGGCCCTTTCAAGAAGATTCCAAGTGGTAGTCGCAGCCTCTTTTGGTTCTAGTTTCTGCTTTCCAGTGTGGACTGAAGCTACTGAACGGGTAGGCTCAACCGCACTTGCAGAGGCACTTGCTCGGTATCCGTCAGTACTCGGTGCTTCGACTTGATGAGGATCTACTGTGGACTCTTCTGCGGTTCCTTGTGTCATAGAGTGTTTGGGGCCCTTTCCACCACTTTTCAGCAGGGCGTTGACCTCTTCTTTGAAGATCCGTCTCTTTTCCTCAGCGGACAAGCTACTAGTGCCATTGCTCGAAGATATGCTCTTCTGTGCGTTCGTCGCCTGGTGCTGACTGGGAGCACGATACAAACATTGAGTTGACCCCGGATACTTAAGTGCTCCAGACCGTGCGGCAGGAGCAGCACTCGAGAATTCTGAAGCCAGAGTGTTTTCCTTGGATGTGTAGTCTGAATTATATCCTTGCTGAGATCCAGACATCGGAAACTCCAAGCCCGACGAGATTCTGCGAGACTCGGCGCGCCTGAACCGCTCATGTTGAATTCGTAAAGTTTCATAGGGGGAACGATGATACGTCTGATCGAAGTTTGCGCCGTACAGATGCAGAGATGACGAGGGGGGGCATGATTTCTCAGACGCAGAGTCGTGACTGAAAGATCCTGTCTTGGGTCCTTCGCAAGAGGATCTCTGGCTGGAGAAGTCCACTGGCCAGACTGCCCGATCACCACTAACATTACCATCTCGTCTTTGGAATGGACTCTCCGAAATGCAGCTGCGGGATTGGTGGTGTGAGCCTGAGTGGGAATAGCTGGAGCTTTTCAGGTAGTTCAGAGGATTTTGCAGGATTGGCCCATTGCCAGCTCCGTACCAGCCTTGATCAGACTTCGCCTCGCTGAGATTCTGTCTTTTCAGGCGGGTAGGTGTTACTTGATCTTCGTAGGAATCAAGATCATTGTCACTGGATTGGTAACGTCGAGAAAGACGCGCCGAAGGGTTGTACTGGGTAGCTGCACTGGGTCGAATTTCGGTGTCTCCTCGTCCATGAATAGAGTCGAGATAAGATTCGCTGTAGTTATACCTCTGAACACGCGTAGGCGTAGAGGGCTTCAGAGAGATATCATCGAGACCAGTAATACTAGCGTGGCGCATAGACGATGGACGACACGGAGACCTCGGCGAGTCAATTGCATGCAGTTGTAACGCGGTTTTTTTTGCATCGAGAAGTGGATCACACGGCATATCGCCATAATCTTGGCCTTCAATAGCCTCAGTAGTTGACTGGTCTTCGTAAATCTCAAAGGAATTGTTGACGGATCCACGAAAGGTGGAGAAGCGTGAGGAAGCTAGATCTTCATCGCCGCTGCTTGCTGCCCTGATACTAACACCAGCCGCACTCTCTAACAGATATTGTCTCTGGGCCCGCGCACCTTTGTTTCTTGAGCTTTGCTTCAGACATAATTCAAGTAGAGGAATAGGCTGAGATGAGGCAAGGTCATCCAAATTATGGAGCTCATGGTCGTCAGTTTGTCTAACATTTGGCTGACGGCAAGCGGTAAAGTCTTGTTGACGATACGGAAACTTCCGTGGCGCCATAGTCGGGGAAGACTGATAGCTTGCAGCTTGGTGAGTAGTACTTTGTGTCGATGGGATGGTTTTTAACAACTCCAACGAAACTGGACACTGCTTCGGGGTTGAAGCTGCGAGTACACCTGCTGGAGACCCCCAAAGTATGACAGGAGACTGTTCTGATATTGTTCCAGAAGACGGTGGCAGTGGTAGTGAAAGCGACTGAGCTCTTTGGCGAGAGACAGGAGTTGTAGGTAGGTGAGGAGGACGGACTGGTGCGGATGACTGTAGAGACTAAGTAATGGAGAGGCCTCGGTTAATGACAGTACATAAAACGTGAAGCACGCTGAGAACAGACTGGGAGATGGGCTGGGAAAGAAGACTGAAGTGATAACTGTACCGCGATAGGTGATATGCTAGTGAGCCACTCTGCTGTCTGAGTACGCCTATCGGGAGAGTGAAGATGGTGCAGTCCTACAGGAGCTCTTCCCGGGGGTAAATTTTTGATCGTCACCGAGCCTTTGCCTCTACGACCTCGCTGTCCTGATGAGCCCGTCAGCTGCCTGCCTTCATCTCCGCCTTTCTAGCAAGGTGTCATTCGAGTATTCACACCAGTCATTGTCCTCCATCCTCTTCATTCTCTTTCCTTCAAGACTGGTGGTAGAGAACAGAGAGAACAAAAGGGAGAAACACCTACTGCGCCGTTGTTTTTTGGGCTTCAACACAAACGACATGGCAACAATCTGTTGCTAGACCTCACTGGCTGGTGAAGTTATCTGTTGTCATGGGGTGGATGTTGGTCCATAGGTGAATGTTCGCTGCTGGCACAATGAGATTGACGATGAAGAGAAACCATGTCTCAGTTGTGCCTTCCTGCGCAACGTGCCAGCTGGTAAGGCAACGGGGAAATCCGTGTCCAATACTTGAGCAGTAGTCTTGGTAGAGAGCTACAAAGAAAAAACTTCCCATCCCAGGACCATAAGAAAACAATCAAAAATTATTAGACTAGGAACATATACTAAGTACTGAGACATGAAGATAGCAATGACACTATTCCAAAGCCTGCCGATCCCAGCGTGGAGTTAGCACATCACATGAAGAATCTGACCACAAGAAATCATTGAAGCAGTCATTCAAGTACACTTATGCTGATCATGCTCCTACCGGTAGTTACGCTGTGCCCCACCTGCGGTGCGTAGGTTGTCTGACGCCATCATATTGGACCCCATGATATTAGCACCCACTCGGCCTGAGTCGAGCTTACCTCCTGTGCTATAGTCATTAGCACCAGCGCTCAGCTCCCCAGCCCCATGAGTATTATAGCTGCTACTTCCTTCTGCACCTCCGCCGCCGAATCTTTGTTGAGTGCGGCCTTCCGTACCGGGCGAGTATGGTCCAGCGACATCTGAAGCCTGAACTTGATCGGATCCACGATTATAGCCACCCGGACTGACATGCTGCACGCCGCTAGTATTTCTAGACTCCATCTGCCTGGAGCCAGAGTCAGGGCCAAGGCCAGTCATGCCTGAACCATACTCTTCCTGAGCAGGATTGCGATTCTCAGCTCCCCGACCTTCGCTAGACCGGACTTCGTAGCCACCCGAAGGCTTTGAGTCATAGCCGCTAGTGCGTGCTTCATAAGCAGCCGTGTTCTCCCCGGTGTCATACGCTCCAGAGGTGTAAGGGTCAGCACTAGGTTTCGCACCGGTGTCGCCGGTTTGAGGGGCATAATGTCCAGTGTCAGATTGGTTGTAGGCTCCAGAGCTGGCGTTCTCGGCTTCGGGAACGGATTCGGAATTGACCGTGCCTGATTCCAAGTCAATCGGATTGGAGGCTCAGCCTGGGGAAGCCTAGCATGGGGGATATGCTTATACTTGATTTATGACCGTGATGGCCTGTGAAGGCATCTTTCACCTTGTGCATGAGCTTGGACATGACGGACTTGTGCAGTACTATAGACTTCCAGTTTCAAGTATGCAAGAGAACCACGGGGTTGATCGAAGTTGTAGTAGTTGGGTTTAAGCATCGTTTTTGGGCTGCATGTAGTCTAAATAGAGATTCCTAGCTCAAACGCCGGGTCGGTTCACGAGCAGCTCCAGAACAGCTCCTCAAAGGCGACAAACCTTAATGTTAGTTTGGTATATGGTCGAGCCAACAATAGCACGCCTGTCCGACCATATGACGTGCCGATACCAATTGTGGTTGGTGACAATAGAGAAAGAGGTCAGGAGTGTGAATGTCGTTCACGTCATCTGGCGAACCCCGGCAATTCCAGACCGTGTTCTCATCAACGGGCACCAGCCACAGTCCCGCCCCCGCCATGGGAACACCCAAACGGTCCCACTTTGATGATGGCACGAGAAGTTTAAAATACTGCCCATCGGTCGGAAATGGGGTGCGGCATCGGCAGAGCCAAAGTTGAATGAATGAACACCAGTTGCCTTCACTACCCGGATGCCTTGTCTCTCAAATCATTTGCACTAGGGTTGCTGAGCCGGTTGAAGGGAAGCGAAGGGGGTGAACCGTGATCTGCAAGATAAGTTGAGCCTCATTGGAACGAATTGGGGTGGGAAAAGAGTTCCTGAAGAACTCGCAATAAAGACAGAACTGTTGCTTGACGGAAGAATGCCGATTGCTTGATTATTTATTCGTACTCGTAGTTGTCGAGGAAATGGAATGCTAGGGAGTCTGAGATCATCAATGTTTGTGACTGGAAAGGTGGACCCTCCGACTAAAGAGTGGGTGGAGATGGTGGATGATCGGCGGGTGGGGATGGAAACGAGGAGTCCATAGATGGCTATGAGTATCTTTGAGAAGGTGGTTAGAGAATGAGTGGACTGTATACCGAGTGAGTAGTATACACATAGAAGCATGAGGAAAAAGCGTGTTGGTCATTGCTCATGTAGGATGCTCAATCGAAGGTCAAACGGAGGAAGAGATGATAATCGCATTGATGGACAGGACAATGTGGACACTGGACGGGGCGGAACCTTCGAACCTTGGTTGCCTGACTTGGCCTGAGTTCCCAGGATGACACTAGCACTAGCCTCAGGCAGCAATCGCCCCGTGACCGGGTGACTGGGGGCTGAGGCTGTGCTTGCGTGTCTCAGCAGGAGTAAACGCAGAAAAGAAGAGGCCAGTCATTCATTCCTTCATCCTTACTTCTCTTTCCTTTCACTTACATACTAAATCATTTGAAACACTTTTTCCCTCTGTATTATCCTGCATCGTTTTTGCGACCACTCAATTCCTCATAGTTCTTCTGGACGACCAAATTGGCGCGCGCGTGTTGACATCCTTCCTTTCCGCCCTCCCTCTCTCCCTCCCCTCTCTCTCCCCCTCCCTCCTCCCTCCTTCTCCGATTCCTCCCCCCCTCCCTCCTCGCTTTTGATCGCACTTTCGGGGAGGTTCGACCTTCTTTTCATGCGAACTGTCGGATTTCTTTTGTTCATCGTCAACTAGTTTTCTACCTTTTCGACTTCGATGAGTGCGGCTGCTGTCGGCCTGCAGCGACCGTCTGACTGGTCATAAGATCCACTCTCTGCCAGCAACCGCAGGGTGCCACCATTAATTAGTACCACCTCGATAATCACAACTCTACCCCAAAGTTATTATCACGCTTCCTGGATACTGGACGTTGACCGTGGAAGGTTGTCTAAGGTCTCACTTCTGTCACCTACCACACCATATCCAAGACGATCATTGTATTGTATCGTTCGGGGACTAGAAGCATTGCGTCACCATGCGACCACCACGCTTGATCGTGATTGTGTTTTGCTTGCTTTTCTTCCCGATCTTACTCACTTTCTTCTCGGCACTAACCACTTCCTCCCGCGTCTCTACGCCAAGTTCGCTTGCTGGTCAAGCGTCGGGTCTCCATGCCCTTTTCTCCTTTAACCTTCCATCCTCGCTCTTTCCGCCCTCCGCAATCATCAGTTTGACCGATGACAACTCGACCTTTTTCCTGGCCAGACCTGCAGCGTTTGGCCCATTGCTGCCAGACAAGGGGCTGAGCGGTCAACTGTGGATTGGAAGCGGATTTGGAGAACGCACGACGGCGGGAGCGGAGGGGGAACTGGGCTGTTCAGATATCCCGGGATGGGGCGAAGGCGACCCTCACAAGCCAGGGACGGCCGACGGAAACACGGGCAAACCACGAACCGGAACCACGAGCGAGGGCACGAAAAAGCAGGCCGACGCTCATTCAGATGCCGACTCCTCGCGTATCCCGAAGGAAAGAGCAGGGACCGGCCTTTCCACTGATGACGGAACCGATGATCATCTGCACCACCCCCTTCCGGAGTCTGCAGGGACAGATGCAACTGCTATGGAGAAATCCGGGGATCACTCTCCGAGCTTACTCACAACCCACGCCGATATTCAATCTCTGCAGGAAAGTGCGGAGATTGACGGCAAGGTGGTCTTGTTGAGTCGGGGTGGCTGTGGCTTCCTTGAGAAGGTCAAATGGGTGCAACGGCGAGGAGGTATTGCTCTGATTGTTGGTGACGACACTCGGGGTGGAAGTCTAGTCACTATGTATGCACGCGGCGATACGTCGAACGTGACAATCCCTGCCCTGTTCACCTCCCACACTACCGCCCATCTGCTTTCTTCCTTGGTTCCGCCTCAGATGGTCGAAGATACGGAGGCGGATGACGCTGCAGCTACTCAAACTGGCCAGTCGGGCCATCGCACTGCTGGGAAGCAACATCTTCACACAGCAACAACCACAGTAGTGGCCGCCTCGAGTACGCCCACTAAGCACACGATGGCCGACAATAGTGTTGCCCCCGCCAGTCCGAAAGGCGGTCTTTTTCATGCTTTGCTGTCCCTACTGGGCCTTGGTAGCAGTGGAAGACGACCGTGGTTCTCACCTGAAGATAGCCGTCGCCCGCCAAACAGTGGAAACATCAACTGGATCATGCTAGATCCTTGGGATGATCATGCACCATCCCAGCAACAGGCAGATGTTAGCCGCTCCCCAACAAAAGCAGACGGAGCTACCATCAACCGCAAGAAGCATGGATCACTGTCGAGCGGCTCGGATGCAGATGGGTTTGTAATCGGAGTCCAGGACTGGCGAGATCCAGATCTAGTCGCACCGAAGGGCAGTGTTCTTCCGACACCCACTGGTATCGCGGGCGTAGATGGGAGCAACGTCCAAAGCAGTGACAAAGCCACCGCTGCCGCTTTGAAAGGCGGCAGCATCACCCCGGGTAGTGGCGAGTACTACACCGTTGACAAGTCTACTATCTCGCAAAAAGGGAGCTCAAGCGGCTCGCAGTCTCAAAGCTCGCATCGTGGCAGCAGCGATGACGACGCATCTTCGTCTGGAAGCAGCTGGCTTTTCAAGCTCTGGTCAAGTAGACAAGAGCCCGACGGAAACCGGGATTCGGGCGTCAAAGATACACTTGCTGCAGAGGATAAGCTCCGCAAGCCTTCCTCAGTCAGTCAATCAGGCGCGACGACAGCTGACCACGAGGGCTTGTGGGTCACCTTAACGCCGACGAGCATGTCTACCAGTCCTTTCTTCGACACGCTCCTTGTCCTTGTCATCAGTCCGCTGCTTACACTGAGCGTGGTGTACATTCTGCTGTTGCTCCGGTCCCGCATTCGCCGACGAAGATGGCGCGCCCCGAAATCTCTGGTGGACCGCCTTCCCGTGCGAACGTACCACACAATTACCACCTCATCTTCTGCCTCTAGCTCACCGCGGTCCGTCAGCCCTGGCCCGGTCTCGCCTACATCGCCCCTTCTGGGTTCTGGAAGCCGCTCAGACACCAAGAGTGCACCCAAAGTGTCGTCTACCAAGAAGGAGAAATCTGGATCCACTCTCTGGCGACGCAAGTACACGGGACGACAGGTCGAATGTGTTGTTTGCCTGGAAGAGTATGTCGATGGAGAAAGCCGGGTGATGAGCCTGCCTTGTGGACATGAGTTCCACGCAGAGTGCATGTAAGTACCCCAGTTGATCTTTATCATGCCACATCTAACGCTGCACAGCACTCCTTGGTTGACTACACGCCGACGAACATGTCCGATTTGCAAGGGGGACGTCGTTCGGTCGATGGCTCAAAGTAGGGCCGGCGATATGCGCGACCCCGCTGCGGAGCAGATAGTCGGGGCAGGTCAGCACACTCGCGAGGTTGAGTCACAGCACGGCGTATCCTCGGCTCCGGTCCCGATCACCGGAGGCAGCGAGGACGAGCTGTCTGACGTGGAGCACCGCGCAGGCGCGGACGCGGGAGTGCATGAGGCACATGCGTCGTCGGCGCCACCGACCTGGCGCAACTACGCGGCGTTGAGTTACTCTGCACTGAGCGGGGACACGATCTGGCACCAAACTCCGACGGACGGGCGGCGATGAAGCCGCGGGCGGAAAAGTTGTCTTCCCAGCGTTTGGATTCGAGCATGTGCTGCATTAGCGATCTTTTGATATCAGGGTTGTATGTTGATGGCGTTTGCGGGTTAAGTAGGCGTGCTGGCGCGGCTCATGGCCAGGCGCCGAGCCGTCAACCGGGAATTACTGAATGCCATGACGGCGAGCAGGGATGGCTAAGTTAGATAGCATTGCTTGCTAATCATAATCATAGCGTACTATCTCATTACTGCTTTGGTTTCTAGTGGTAGCTGCAGGGATGATGATCCTTAACTGCCTAGCCTACGTCAGAGCCTCTGGTACAGTCCGCATACATAGAACCCCTCACCTTCGACCCCTGAACACTTCCTCTTGCTCATACAACTCTCTCGACAGAGGAGGATATTGCCGGCGTGCAGGTGCCGGTGCAGGTGTTGGCGCCGGAGAGGGATGCGGTGTATACGGCGCAGCCCAAGGAATTCACCATCAAGATTTTGCAGGAGAGGGGGGGGTGCAGTTCGAGTATCGGTTACTTCCGGGGGTGGAGCATGGGTGTTTCACAAGGGGGATTGAGGGGGTTCCGGGGGAGGGAGGCGGTTGGGTATTGGATGAGGGGATGGTTGTAGATCTTATTGAGTTGCGGATGGTGCGTAGGAGGTTGTGGATCGAAGGGGCTGTGGAATTGTGATGGAGTTGGGGTTTGGTGCTGTTTGTTTGTGGTGAGATTACATTGTTTGTTGATGGCGGCTGTACACAGACAATCAGCTTATCTTATCGGAACTTGGAAGCTCTTATCGATAAGCCGGCCAAGCTCTTTGCGACATGATGACGATCATCTCCCCTCCCCTCGTCCTTTTGCTGCTCCTCCTTCAATCACGCCCAATTCTTCCACCACCAAACCCACCACCACCACCACCACTGCAGCACACAAAACCACCACATCAAACCAAGCACCACCATGTCCGCCCTGAAAGAAGCCTTTGTCAACGAAATCGCGCACCTCCGCGCCATTGCCAAAGACCTCCTCTTTTCCGGCACATACATCTACCCCATAAAAGTACGCCTCCCCCCAGCAACCCCCATACCCCCATGCCCCCCGTCCCCTCTTCCCCAAGACATCCCCAAGACATCTCCAAGAACCAAGACCTAACCAGCAACAGGGAATAATCTACACCCTCCATCACCGCCCCCTCTGGACCCCTCTCCTCTCGCGCTCCGCCAAAACCCTCACGCTGGGCCTCGGCATCACGACCACGATGTTCTTCTTCACCTACCTCCCGCAAGTGGCGCTGCTCACCTTCACCGCGGGACCCTTCCTGGCGCCCTTCTCCGCCGCTTTCCTCGTGCTTTCCGAATCCTCCACCATCACCACCTACCTGGCGCGCTCGTTCCTCCTCGCCGACGCCATCACCGACACCTTCGACGCGACGCTGCTCGAGCGCGGCGAGGACGCCCTCGTCGCCCGGGAGCGGGCCGTCGCTGTGGCCCCGTCTGCGTCCAGCAGCAGCACCAGCGGTCCCCGTCTCGGCAGCCGCCTCAAGCACCCGATCGAGAAACTCTCGCCGCAGATGCTGCTGCGCTCGCTGCTGTACCTGCCGCTCAACTTTGTGCCGGTCGTCGGCACGATTGCCTATATCTATGTGCAGGGGAAGCGCGTGGGGCCTGTGGCGCATGCCAGGTATTTTCAGTTGAAGGGGTGGGGCAGGAAGGAGCGCGAGGGGTGGGTGGAGGGGCCCGGGCGGAGGGGGGCGTATACTGCGTGAGTCTTCCGTTATTCTTTGGGGGTGAGCTGGGGCTAATTTGGTGTGGTGGGCAGGTTCGGAATGGCCGCGTTTGCGTTGGAGATGATTCCGTTTGCGTCGATTGTGATGGCTTTTACGAATACCGTGGGGGCGGCGCTGTGGGCGGCGGATTTGGAGAAGGCGACGCGGTGAGGGGTTTGGGGTTTGGGGTTGGGTTGGGTTGAGGCTGGAAGGGTGGGCTCAAGGTTGAACTGGGTGGCTGCAAGGGCTGGGGTTGTGGTGTAGGGTGTTGGGGATGTTGCGATAGTTGTATATTGGGTGATGGAGTTTTGTAACTTTCTGTATCTGTAGTTTACCCCGGGACATAGCTGTAGTCATAGTGCACACTGAATGCCATGTATTTGCAACTTTTTAAGTACCGTCCGCAGCTATCACTCAATCAACTCGTGCTCCGCCAGGCACTCCTCCAGCAGCTCGGTCATCAGAGGAACCATCTCCCCCTTTCGAATGGCCCGGTAGAGCACCCCTGTGTAGGAGCCCACCGTCGGCGCCTCGCGGCGTCGACCCGTCCGCATCGCTTCCGCCGTCGGCGTCAGGATCTGCGCCGTGCACAGGAACGGGACCCCCAGCGTCCGCCGCACAAACGCATAGACCTTCTTCGCTGCCACCCCCAAGTACGCACTGGCATTGCCGTGGATCAGATACGCATCCCGATTGACACACCACGCGTCTAGAAGCAGGGTGTCTGTACCTTCGACAAAACTCTGCAGCGCCCCGAGCAGCTCGGCCGACGATGCACTGACCCCCACATGGTCGAGGATGGGTACCCGCATGCTTTTCGCGATGTGCAGGAACCGGTCCTTCGCATCCATTGTGACGGTGGAGTCGAGCATCGTCTCAAGGTGGCCCCATATCGCACACGAGAGTGCTTCCACATCTATGGATCCCGTGTCATTCTCAACGTCTGCATCGGGCTCGATGGCTTGCAGCAACTCGTCGAGCAGCATCGCAAACGGACGACGGACCGAATCCAAGAACTGCAGCTGCATGGCTCGCAGGTCCAGGGCCTGGCAGACGGAGAGGAGGTGCGCGGCGGCGATCTCGGTCAGAACCCGCACGCCCGTGGCAGTGTACCGGGCCGAGATCAACGCCAGGGAGTTCAGCGACTGATTGCCCATCTCTGCGTTTTGGACGTGGTTCACCGGACCGGCGAGAAATCCCAGCTCCGACTGGAGAGCAGAAATGTATATGTCGATGGCCTTGAAGATCCCCGACTTGCTGGGCTCCTCGGCCACGAGGTTCGGCGGCAGGCCCCAGCTTGTGGCGGGGTTGATCATCTCCTGGCACTGCGTAAACAGCATGCGGCCGATGGTCTGCACGCCTTGGCGGCTCTTTTCCATCGCAGCGGTCACGGCCTTGGCCTGGAAATTGCCACCATGCAAGAACGCACCGTCGTGGGTCACTAATGGGTTGTCCGTGGTCGAATTGCATTCGATGCTCATCTGCTGGTGGGCGAGGAGTAGATCTTCTAGTACCGGACCGAGCCACTGCGCCGCAGTGCGGATGGAGTATCGGTCTTGTCGCAGAGCTCCGTCTTTCCCGTCTTTGGTCCGAGCCAGCTGGGATCCCCTCAGGAATGCGTGGATGTTGCGCGAGCTCTCGACTTGCCCGGGGTGTGGACGGACTTCTCCGAAGAAGCGATCGAAGCTCTCTGGTGATCCAAGTAGTGCTTCCACAGTCATGGCTGTCAGGATCTGAGAGAGAATCGCCAGTTGCTGCACGTCATGAAGCACGAGGGCACCACAGGCCGCCGATATAGCCGTTCCGTTGACAATAGCAAGTCCCTCCTTTGCCGTCAAGTCCACTGGCGGGATACTCGCACCAGCGAGGGCTTCATCTGCGTAAAGATCCCGATCGTGACCGGAGGTGGGAAACACCCGGATTGTAGGCTTTCCCTGGATGACACCGCTGATATATGCCAGCGGGCTCAGATCCCCAGACGCAGAGATGCTGCCGCGGATGGGCACCATGGGAATGATATTGTGCATTAGCAGTGCCTCCAAACGATCCAAAATGACCTGGCGGATGGCCGAATGACCTCGCAATAACGTGTTGATCCTTAGGAGGATAGCACCCCGGACCCAGGTCAATGGCAGATAGTACGACTCGCTTGCTTCCTCCTGTGAGAGGTCAAATTCACGGTAGTCTTCACAAATGCTGCGGCGGCGAGGTTGAGCATCGCGAGAACCCGGAGGAAGGATGCCATAACCAAGTTCTCGAGTCAGCACCCGCTGAAGCGCTTGAACATCTTTTGTGCGAGTATGTGCAGAGGCACCAAAGCCGGTGTTGACACCTAGCAGTGAGCAGATGCATCAACGTCAGACTCACAAACACTGGTATTGAAAGGCTCACATACCGTAGATCACTTCTCCTGATGAAAGACTATCCAGTAAGGCATTGTGACTTCTATTGACCTCCGAATATGCTGTTGAAGCAATTTTCACGCTCTGAGCATGTCTACACATTATTAGCGCAAGGAGGCTCTAAAGGTGTTCGTGACACACCTTGCAACATAGACGACATGTGGGATGTCCAAAGTATCACCATCGATGATCACTTCCCCCCCTGGTTCGCTTGCTAACTGGCGGCACAACTTCCATTGTTGCACCACCAAGGACGTATGGAATTTGTAGGACTGCATTTTGGGTGAGAACAGGAATTTCCGCGCGCAGTCGCCAGGTTTGAGCTCGCCTGATGTCTGTTTTTAAATACTGTACCAACTCACTACAATTTGTGGGGTTTCGAGTCCAGCCGTGACAGTAACGAGGCTACCAGCGCAGTCAGACTTGTGCAACATCGAGTTAGGCTTCAAAATTAGGCTGTCACTCTAATTCCTTCCAGCGCATAACACCGCCGAAAGGTGGCATATCATCCAGACCCGCTTCTCCGCAGGCACTTATGCAAGGCGTCCCCTAGCCCGGGGTCTGACCCACCAACGCTCACTAGTGTCTTATCGGACTGTAAGGAAGTAGTATCGCGTCTCAATAGCTTCATGTAATTCTTTCGGCATGAAACCTGTGGTTACTACGGAGTACGGAATATCACCTCTCAAGCCACTGCCACTCGAACTCCATTTTTGGACATCAGTGCAAGACCGGCGCTCTCAACCCACTCGTTCGGATCTCTGGATTCTATTGAGCGAAAATGTTGCGCCAGACGAGTGAGGACATAAGTAGCTTCGTTCAGGGCCAGATCCACTACAAGGGTGGTTGTGGCGTTAATACGGACGCCGCCATGAGCACGGATTGGATGGAAACACTTACTGCCAATGCAATTCCTCGGTCCGCCTAGGAAGGGGATGAACTTCTGTTATCAATTAGGAGCTAGCTCTGATGTCATTCAGAAAGACTCCTTACCCAATTTTGCTTTTGGTCGAGCCAGCGGTCGGGGTCAAACTCTTCTGCGTCGTCGCCCCATAGATCGTGACGGCGGTGCATGGCATACGTCGCGATGTGCACCATCGTACCCTTCGATACGAAGATTGGGGACTTGCCGTCGGCCCCTCCGCCAGTGGGAAGAACCGTGTCTCTGTTAGCAATTCGAGAATTGGAAGCTTGTGGTGGATGAATGCGAAGGCCTTGGTGGGGAATCGGTCGTTAGCATCGTCGTCCTGTCAGGTGTGCAGACCTCTTACTCTCAAATACACAGCCATTCACATATTTGAGGCCTTTCAACTGTGGCAGGGAAGGTGGCTGGCCGCGTAAGTGCTGTACTTCTGAGCGTACGCGCTCCCATACATCAGGACGCTTGGAAAGAATGAAGAATAAGTTAATCAAAAGGGCGGCGACGGTGTCTGCACCGGCAAAGTACAGGGTTGTAATCTCGTCCCGGAGCGATAGTCCATCCTGTGATATCTGACTGAGCTGATTTAGAAAACTTGGTCGATCCTCCTCATTCTCGTCCTTTCCCAAGTCTTGATCATTTACCCTGATTGCTTTGTCGACATATGGTTGGATGAATGAATGCACTGTACGAACTTGCGTCATAAATGCTTGCTGTGGCCAGATGAAGGCAAAGCGTCCTAGCAACCATCGAAACTCACATCCTGCCGCTGCCTCGTAGAATGCGTCCAATAAGCCTGATTGGAGTCTATCTGGACATTTGAGCGACTCAAGTGACTCCCCGAACAGAAAGTCTGTAGCAACATCGGCCGCAAAACGATGGAACAACGGAGCTAAGTCAAAGGTTTCCCCGGTGATGGGGACAATGGCGAGTAGATTCTGAACATGAGGCTCGAAAAGCTCAAGGTCACCAATACGAGCTTGACTGAAGCATTTTTGCAGGAGGGAACGTTTCGATCGCCACTGCACCCCGTCGATTTGAAAGATGCTGTTCCCCAGCAAAGGTGCAAAGGCCCTATGGCGTCGTGCTCCAGTATCAAAGTCCGCGAAGTTTGTGGAGAAGATGGCTCGCACATTGTCAGGCTCGATTGTGTTCAAAACCCACTGTCCTAGAAAGAGGGATCGATAGGTGTTTCCAATCTCTTGGTGTAGCTGTTGCTCGCGTCTCAGGTAGCATTGGCTCTTTCTCGCTTGTATCGAGTCACGTAGGTAGTCAGAACCCAGCAATCTCTCTCGATGGGGGTAACTTTTGAGCGGCTGGCAGCCCTTCAGTCGAGCTAGCTTGGAGTAGGCAATGATGGTGGTAATGAAATACCATCCACCCAGAAGCAAAAGGCCCCCGATTATGGTCAATGGATATTCTTGTATCATGCCGAAGACAATAGCTGTGGCTGTGTGATCGGAAGAGTAGAGAAGCGGCCAAAGCGGAAGAATAAGATAAGATGATGGAGACAAGTGAGCCAAAGAAGAAGCATGGGATTGGAGCAGCGGTGACAGCTGCACGCCTGACTGTCAAACACGGTGGGTGCATACATAAGATGCGCGACTCCGGAGGGCAAACCCCCTCTCATACCAATAACCTCTTTAGTATGCCATAGTTCTATCTCTACCTCTCTTCTCCTCCTCTTTCTCTCCATCACCAGCAGCATCTGTCTCTATTATTCCACTTATCCTCCTGTCACTTTGGCCTTCCTGACATTGAACATTCATCAAACTTCTCTTTTCCCAGGCTTGTTTTCTTGCATAAAGACAGATACAATGCCTGTTATTCCGAGAGGAGTTACTTGCGTTCCGAGCCATGGTCGACTACAGTATGCTCGGAGCCGACCCCGAATTCTCGGTGATTCACCTGTAAGAAGTCAAAAGCAAACAAACCCTTATTCCCCCCTTTCCAGCTGGTTTGTTACACGTCTCAATCACTGCCTTGAGATTCTTGTTGACGTCTCAAATTTTCAGTATAGGGCGGTTCTTGCACGTTCAACAGTGTCACTTTCCTCACCAATCCCCATGGAAACATCCCCGTGTAGCCCAGAAGACCTCACAGCGATCGATACTGTCTTCTGGAAAGAGACACTTGGCAGGGACTTGCGGATTCTTCTGGATGGCGCTGAGTATGACCAGTCTACGCAGCAGGCGGCTCTTGCGACAATGAGCCGCTATGTGGCCCCTTGCTTAGGGCCGCGTCCTTTGGTGGGAGAGGCTGGTAGGGACCAGTTTCGTCCCATGCAATGGAGAAGTTTCATGACGGACGATTTCTCTCCGATAGAATACAGTTGGAGCTGGGAGAACCTCGCTCCCATCATTCGCTATAGCTTCGAGCCAATTGGGAGGCTCGCAGGCACCTCACAGGACCCTTATAATCGGACAGCGCCGTTGGGATGCGTGCAGCAGCTACGGGGAATCCTTCCCGCCGCCGATTGGCGTTGGTTCGATCACTTTACCCAAGCCTTTCGGGGGCCGACGCCTCTGCCGCGCAAGGGGTCATCCTCCCACTCCAGCCCCTCAACAATTTTCCTGGCCTTCAACCTGGAGAAGCACGGGCACAGATGTAAATCCTACCATGTCCCACATTCGACATCGGATCAGTTGGGTAGCTCACGGCTTGACGTTCTGCATCAGGCTTGCCAAGCCCTACAGCAGCAACATGGGCTTCCAGCCTACGACTGTATCGAGCAATTCTTGCGACGGCAGGGGCAATCATCCACCCCACCTATCATACTCGGGGTGGCGGTTGACTGCGTGCATCCATCTCTTGCCAATCTTAAAGTGTATTTCCGATCCCGTGCGACCAATTTTGACAGTGTTCAGGAAACTCTCTTAATGGCAGGCGCATCGCCAAGCTGGGATACCCGTGCCCTGGAGGAGCTTCGAGAACTGTGGCTTCTCACGTTAGGGCTGCCATCCGATTTTCCCAACCATCAGCAACTGCCATCCAAGGACCATGAGACGTCAGGCGTGCTGTACAATTTTGGATTCAAGCAAGGCCAACGGTATCCTGACACCAAGGTGTACATTCCGGTGCGGCACTACGCGCGCAGTGACCGAGCAATTGTTCAGGGTTTGATCGAGTTCTTGGCGCGTCGTGGGCGAGCCCAGCAAGCTCAACGCTTCGTGCAAACCCTCGAACAGCTAGTCGAATCCTTCCGTTCCCTTGATGAGGCGTGCGGACTGCAAACATACATCGCCTGTGGGAATAAGGACGGTCGGCTTCGTCTGACCTCCTATCTGTCTGCAGAGATATACTATCCCGGACGGTGGTCTCGACAGCCGTGATATGGCGAGTCTGGGATTTCATTTGCCAACAAAATCTCTCCGCAGGAAACATCTATTGCTTGTTGGATGCACAATGCTTTGTATAAGTTATGATTCGTTTGTTGACTCGAGAATGAAAGATCCTCACTAGCTAGCAAGATGCAGCTGGGCTTGGCTCCTGGCAAATCAGGGTCCAGTTTGGATCATGCAGTAGTATGCACTGAGTGAGCATGTAGCCTGCTACTGGATCCTCAATGCCCATCAGCCTTTCAGTCTGTACTACTCCCGTACTGCTGTGGTAGTCGAGTTACTTGGACATCCTGTGCCATTTAGTAGAGTCGACACAGCCTAGTCATACAAACTAGGGCTCGGTTGCCTGACATACCATGGAATGAATCGGGCTGACCGAGAGTTAATTCGAGGGGGGAAGGGGGGAGGGGTTGGGGGCTGAGGGACAATAAGAGTCCATGGATGACCGCCAGATCGTCCCGTTGTGGAAATGCCAACTGTCGGTCGGGAGGGGTTGCAGCGAGGGGGTTTGCCAGGCGGAGTTGATTAGATAGGTGGTAGCACATACTAACTGGTAAATCCTCCCTCTCTCGGCGCTGACCGTCTCACCAATTTCTAATGCAGGTGGTACAGAGCAATCAACCCAGTCCCCTTCACCATGCCATTCTCTATTCGGGCCCACGCCTGCATTTCATGTCTCTAGGTCGCGGCGACTTCACAAGGCTTAGCAAGCAAAGATGAGATGTTTAGCTCTTCTTCACTCTTGTGGGTGTAACCCTCCTACCAGCTTCTTTTAACTCTTTCCGATCGGCCGATCGAGCTGATTTGAATGACCATCGGATCGGATGCCCTCGTGAGAGACAGCTGCCGGCAATGATCATGGCGACCGCTGTCACGGACAGCTACCTGAACGAAGACATCTCGGGTCGACTCTCAGCCGCGACGACCGTCATCGTTATACTCACCACTACTCTTCTAGCCCTACGCATATACGTGCGAAGCCTCGCCCATGTCTCTAGCGGCTGGGACGATATTCTGCTGGCTCCTGCTTGGCTTCTTTGCCTGGGAGCATGTATAACATGTTATAGTGAGTGAAAACGCTGATCTAGCATCTCCTGGCAATTCCAACTAAGCCCATCCTCTACAGTGGCTATCACGCATGGAGGGTCCGGTCGTCACGTAGAAGCCGTGATGATGGACGACCCCAAGAAGCTGATCATACGTGGGAAATTGCTCTATGCTCTCAGCTGGCTTACCGCTTTCGCGAATACCTTCTCGCGGACCTCCATCTTAGTCCTGTTCCGGCGCATATTCCCTCCGGGCATCACGCGCATCGTGACGGATCTCGCCATCGTTTACTTGATCCTCTTCGTCCTCGCGCAGGCGATTGTCGGACTAACGGAATGCCACCCGCTGGCATACTTCTGGGACCGCAGCATCCCCGGCGGGTGGTGTGTGGATCAATTCCTCTTCTACCGAATGTCTGGTCTGCTGAATATCGCTGGAGACGTGGTGATCCTGATTCTGCCCATTCCGACCGTCTGGACGCTTCATGCGTCCCTGGCCAGGAGAACCGGGATTGCCATGGTGTTTCTGTCGGGCAGCTGGTATGTGCCATCATCGTCAACGTGCTCCTAAGTAACGGAAATCTAATGATTTTGTAGTGGCCTCATAGCCTCGTGTGTCCGAACCTCCTATTTTTTCACAGCTGCCAAATTGTCGATGACCGACCCGACCTGTAAGGCACCCTTCCTCCTTCCCATGTCACCACGTGTTTGGTCTCTGATTAGCTGCAGGGGCGGACATCAACCTAATGACCTGGACTACCGTAGAAAGTGGTCTGTATCTCTCCGCTGCCTGCATGATCGGGCTGCGACCCCTGCTTAACCAAGTGGCGGGCTGGATGACAAGGTCTCGCCTCGGGGTATTCACAGCCAAAGGCACGAAGGCCCGATCGCGGCGGAGCGATCCAGATGACGGATCACAATTGATCTCGACTATGAAGCAAGATCATATCAACTTAGAGACCTTCGATCGAGACCGGGACACGGACGAGAGATCAGCCATAGGGAGTGGGGCGAAGCAGCCCTCTGTTGTATAGGAGGAGCTCTAGGCAAGCAAGGGCGTAAAGAATGGACACGCGGTCACAAGATCGCTGAACCTCGACACCATAATGCCTTTAGATAGTCTATGACCACTTTTCAATTCGCGAATTCAATATACAGCTCTCGAACATCTAGTTGGCACTGCAACCTCAAGTCTACATGTGCAGAAGACTATCTACGATCATGCTGTCTCATTCACGTCATGTTGGGGATGGTGAACTAGGATTTCACACTTTGAACGGGATGTAATGAGCTGGTCTTGATGTTACTAAAGTCAATCTTGTGATATTTATTATCATCACATTGATTGCCTTGTCTTGTACCTGTAGGCTACATTATCCCATGGCGAAGTTGCTTCGTCCTTCAGCAACGGGCAGTTACTCCAACACAGCCGGATGAGAGAACACACTCAAAAGTTTCAGGCAATTCTAATTTTCAACCATATTATGGTAGTATATGTATGACAAAAAAACAGATGCATTCTCAATTTGACTCGCTCTCTAATTAAAAAGACTTTTGTATGGGGCAGTTTGTACGGGGGGAGACGCCTTTCGTGGGATCCGTGAGCCTTTTCTCCCCCTTGTTTCGTCCTTAGGCGAAGAGCGCTTTGTAAGCTTGGGTATCTTACTTGTACGGTTTGCTCGACGGCCATCCCCAGGCTCTCCTGAAAGTTCTGCCTCGGGGTCATCATTATCATCGTCAGGGATACTTGCTCGGTCCTGCTCTTCAGCATCTTCTTCCTGGTCCACCTCTGAATCTGAAGCAGAATGATCATCCAGGTCCTCCTCCGGGGAATGAGGGCGCTCTTCCTGCAATTCTAGGGGTTTCCCCTCAGGGGAGTCTTGGACCTTCTCCTCCGGCTGATCTTCGTGAGGTTCCTCTTCATCGTTGTCAGCATGGTCTTCTTCGTCGGAATGCAGATCGTGAGAGTCTTCGGGATCCTCAGGTTCCTTATCAGAGGAGTCATCTTCCTGGCTCTCTTCTGCCAGATTAATGAAAGGGTTTCTCTCAAACTCTGCAACACGCTCCTGTTCACCATGGTGTCCTTCCGGGTGTCCTTCCGGGTCTCCTCCACGAACCGAGCTGCGGTCAATTTCTACCATCATAGAATCTCTGTCACGAATCAGCAGAGGGCTAGGACTACGAGAACCTACATCATTAACAGCCGATGTCCTTGCAGCTAGTAGCTCGCTGCGGCTGCGGCTGCGCTGTCTCCCTCTGGCGTCATTGCCGTGCTCGTACGGCTCGATGCCGATCCTTCGCCCTTGAAGGTGCATCTCCAATAGCATATCCATTGGCCCGGGGAGAGCCAGCAGCGCAAGGTCGTCGAGGTGCCCCGCAATATGCCGCAAGAAGCCCTCATTCCCGTGTCTCAGAGCGCTGTGATCGCCTTCGCGAAGACCACAGAAAGGACACTCCTCGATCGGATGAGCTTGCTCGCTCGCGCTTGCACGTCGGTGGTCGTTCATGTGCTTGATCCATGCTTTCATGCTCCCGAAGACGCTGGAACACGGGCCCCAGAGGCACAGGTAGGGTCGTACGTCCTGGAGGACGTGATCCTCCCACCGGACCGCATCGAACTCCCCGACTGGGAAGTAGACCATGCAGTAGGGGCAGCGGAAATCGGGCTCACCTTCTTTGCTTTGCGGCATTGGGGGCCACGTGAAGACGTCGGGCATGGCCCGCAATCGTTGGACTCTTTCACGACTAGATTTCCGCTTGCTAGACCCGGCTCGTCTGCCATGTTTATGCTGATGATACCCGATGGCGATGCGGCTGTCGACCAGCCTTGTCCCGAGCCGATCGTGCAGCTTGGAGTCGACGCAGGGGAACACCTGCTTGATGATGCGAGACACGAAGTCCTTGAATTTAGACGTCACGTCGTTGTTGTCAGCATCCAACACGGAGAACATGGAGGGGTCCTCATGCTTCCGGGGGCGATGTTTGCCGTGCCCTTTGCCCCGAGCATCGGATCTGAGCACATGCACGCGCATCTTGTTGATGAAATTGTAGACGTTCTTCAGAAATGTGACCCGAGGCGCTTTCTTGACCAGAAGCACCAGCAGATTGACGCGCATGAGCCTGAACAGATAGGTGAATAGATCCATGGTCGTCGGGTGCTTGGCCTGGTATCTCACCGATGCTTTCTTGCTCGTCAAGAAACGAGATTCCTTGACGAAGCGTCGGAATGTGTCATGGACATCCGTAAACGAGAGGGTCCTCTGCACCCGGTCTTTGACCAGCTCCTGTAGCATGGCTTCGCAGATCTGAACCTGGCCGTAAAGACTCCTGATGGTGGTGAACCGGGACATGGTGGTGTACATGTCGACCGAGGATCAAGGCGTTGAGTATCAGCAACTTTGGGCTGGAGCGTCTTTCGAGTCTTGGGTGGGATCCTGTCTCGAGGCTATTTATGTTAATTTGCGTCTGCAGCGGCTTTGTTTGTGACTTGCGAACAATGGCATTGTTTTGACTTCGAGCATCTGGTTCTTGGCTGTTTGTGTAGATTTTACTCCCCTGAAACCTACCGGAATTGTCTATAATGTCTTTGCAAGCGAGACAAAGGTTCATTCGATAGTCAATTGAGAGGGAGTTGACGAAGAAAGAAACACAATTATTCTCTATTGTCTCGCTTCTATTATATAGTCAAGGTAATCTGCGTTGTTCCAGCTGTGTTATGCCACAGGAGACTGAGCTTCTTAGCCAGACCATTCTCCTCATGCCTCGGTCGGGACCGCAAGCCTCACTGGATATCTAGCGTATTATGTCGAGTCAAATGGAGAGACAGACATGTTCGTCCAACTTGATTGACTACAATATGTTGCTCTGTGACTAATGCTAATATCGAGTACATGCTTGGCAGAGGAAGACTTTGTGCGACACACTCCCTTGCAGCTGATTACCGGGATGACATTCTCATCTTCCCCTCACACACACACACACACTCTCTCTCTCTCTCTATCTCTCACTTCTTCTCTTTCTCCTTCCCCTCAACCCACTTTCTTCTCCATCTCTCTCAAACCCAAACCCAAGGAACACTACCATGGAGCAACCAACTTCACCATTCCCTCTTCCAGGCATTCAACACGGCCAGCGAATCCTCGCTAGTGTCGTAGAGAGCCGTGCAAAGAACGAACCCAATAGCGCGTGGGTGTCCGTCCCCATAGATGATGCCGATCTATCGCGGGGCTTTCGAGAAATCAGCTTCCAGCAATTGAACAACGCAGCCAACCATGCCGCCCACTGGCTTCACCAGCATTTGCCTGCCACAACGGAGCCATTTCAATGCTTCGCCTATGCAGGTCCCAAGGACTTTCGGTATGCCATTCTTGCAGTGGCCGCAGCCAAGTTGCAGAAAGTGGTTTGTTGCCGTGGATGTCTCCTGCCTGCAAGGAAGTCACGTTGATGTCGTTTGCAGATCGTACTTCCTTCTCCACTCATCACGCCCGAAGCTCAACTACGTATCTTCCGGCAGAAGAACTGCACTGTGTATCTGCGACCTGCATCAATGGTAGACCATGTGGCGGCTATTCTTCGGGAGACACCTGAGATCCAGCCGTTGACGGTTCCTGAGCTTGGGGATTTCTTGCAGGATGCTGAGGCTGCGCCGTATACGTGTTCTAAGACATGGGAGGAGGGAAAGGATGATCCGTGGATGGTCTTTCATACGTCTGGCACAACAGGTAGAAATCCAGCTTCTATGAATTATTATTATTAGTCCACTCCCAGCTGACAAGTTTGAGTTAGGCTTCCCCAAACCTGTTACGTATACCCATCAGATGATGGCAAGTCCAGATCTTGCTGCATCTCTGCCTGACATCGAGTATACTCACGTGCATCAATATGCTCTTCAACGGTGGTATACACCGCTCCCTTCGCTTCATGTGCGTCTAGAATTCTTGGGTCTAATTTCTCGTTCGGGATACTGACGCCTCCAGTTTGTGGGAACGGTGATGACCCTGTCTATGACTTCCTTCGTCCACATGGTCGCGGTAGTGGGTCCTTCCGCACCCCCGTCGCCCCAGGTTGTTGCGGACATCCTGCGTTATGGCCGAGTAGACGGAGCCTTACTCACCCCCGCCCTGATCGATGAGCTATGTCTCATTCCTTCTGGACTGGAGGCTCTACGCAACCTAAAGTATGTGCACTTTGCCGGGGCGCCTCTTTCTGCCAAAGCCGGTGCGCAGCTGGCTCCACATGTTCACCTAGTGCCCTGCATAGGCAGCACCGAAGCAGGGGGCTATTTCACCACAATCCAAGACAAAGACCGTCCGTGGGATTACATCACCTTTCAAAAACACGCAGGCGCCGAGTTCAAGCATCGTTTCAATAATCTACATGAGCTAGTCTTTGTTCGGCGACCAGAATGTGCTATGCAGCAGATCTTCTCTGCGTACCCGGACAGAGATCGCTTCGAGAGCAAGGACCTGTGGGTTGAGCACCCTGAGCTTAAGGGCTCGTGGAAGATTATCGGGCGTACCGACGATTACGTGGCGCTCGCACACGCGGACGGGCTGCATGCCTCGCTGTTGGAGCCGGAGATTGAAGCCCACCCGGGCGTGAGGTCGGCTTTGATCGGTGGCCACGGTCGTCCTGCACCTGTGCTCATTGTAGAGTTTTTCCCCAAGGCAGAGGTGGGCCATGATCATCAGTCCCTGGTTAAGAGTCTGCATCCGTATCTCGAAAGGGTCAATGCGCATGTGCATGACTGTGTGAGACTCTCGGCAGACCGGATCATAATTGCGAGCAAGGACAAGCCTTTTGTGCGTACGATCAAGGGGAGCGTGGCCCGATTGCAGACTCTTAGCCTGTATGAGGGTGAGATCGCGGCGCTTTTTGGGCAGTAGGTCAGCGATGAATCTGACCGTAGTGTGCCAAAGTAAGAATGGAGGAACAAAGTTTTACTCGTGGGCCATCATCACATGTCAAGTTGTGTAAATATGAATCCGCTGTAGAGTGCAGCATGCATGGTGTAACCGGAATTCATGTGAACAGGAATCAGCTGAGATCAGCACTAGTTCAGTCCGACTGTATTGTAAGAATGGGGAAATCCACCCGAAAGGGCCCTGGAACTCCGCACTGGAACCTCCCCCGCACCCGCACACTCAAGCTTTCCTTCTACTCCACATCCCCAGAGCTCACCACCACCACCACCACCACCACCACTATCGACATCGAATCCTCCAAACGAGCCATCATGGAGACCAGTCCATTCCGCATCATTGAGCACTCGATTCCCGGCCAGCATATCCGCGATCACCACCACGCCATCAGAGGCCGCCAAGAGACCGCTCTCCGCCTCGCCATCAAACAATACATCCCTGTCGACCGACCCGACCCGATCCCCGAGCATGCTGTCACTATCATCGGTGCGCACGGCACAGGCTTTCCCAAGGTGAGTCAATTCAGTGAAGCCCAGAGAGTCGCATCCTAAGAATAGAGTCCAGGAAATCTACGAGCCTCTATGGGAAGACCTCTACGCCCAGATGAAGCAACACTCGATCCCGCTGCGGGCCATCTGGGTCGCCGACGTCTCGAACCAGGGAGCCAGCGGTGTGCTGAATGAGGATATCCAAGGCGATCACAGTATGCTTCCAGCCCCACTGTCAAGAACAACACCATCACAAAACTAACACAACCACAGCAAACTGGTTTGACCACTCCCGCGACCTCCTGCATATGGTCAACCACTTCCGCGAGGAAATGACCCGTCCGATCATCGGAGTCGCACATAGCATGGGATGTGCGCAGCTGTATGCCTACCTACCCTTCCCACCATGCTCCAACCCATGCGGGACTTTTCTGATAACCAAGCAAACCAGAGTCCAACTATCAATCATGCACCCGCGCCTGCTGTCCACCCTCATCCTCATCGAACCCGTCATCCTCGACTTCGCCGGCCGCACCGCGCGCAGCCCCAACCCGTCCCGCTCCGCCGCCCTCCGCAGAGATCTGTGGCCCTCGCGCGCCGCCGCCGAATCCGCCCTCCGCAAGTCGCTATTGCGCCGCTGGGACCCCCGCGCCGCGTCGCGGTACCTCCACTTCGGGCTGCGCGAGCTTCCGACCCGGCTATATCCTGCTGTTGACACCAGCACTCTCCCGAGCCTCGGAGACAGCAGCAGCAGCAGCAGCAGCAACAACAACGACAACAAAAACTCCCCAGACCCCCCAATTGCCCAAAACCCACCACCACCCCCACCCACCGCGGTAACCCTAACAACCACCAAACACCACGAAGCATGGAGCTACAGCGTCCCCAACCTAGAACCCGCCAGCGCACACCTCGACCCCCTCCTCCTACCAGACTGGGACACCGAATTCGAGCGGCCCTTCCGTGTCTCTCGCCCGGAGTGCCAGATCAGCATGCGCAATCTTCCCTCCGTGCGGCCGAGCGTGCTCTGGGTCTTCGGCGGAAAGAGCTATCTCTCGCCGCCGGCGGAGCAAGACAAGAAGGTCCGGTTGACGGGGTCCGGGACCGGTGGGAGTGGTGGGGTGGCAGACGGGAAAGTGGAGAAGGCGGTGCTGGGGACGGGGTCGCATATGTTGGTTGTGGAGCAGGTGGGGTGGTGCGCGGGGACGATTGCCGGATGGTTGGGGGGATGGTTCAAGCGGTATGAGAAGGAGGAGCGGTTCTGGGGGGGTTATCAGTCCAAAAAATCGGACGGGGGCGAGATGTTAAGGCTTTCGGAGGAGGGGTTGGAGGCTTCAGTGGGGGATCTGGGGGTGGAAAGGCCGAGGGGAAAGGCGAAGTTGTAGACCTGACCTGGCTGTGGGTGCTGTGCTGGTTCTGAGGGTATTCGGTGGGGGTGGTTGTCTTGTTGCTTGCTGGGATAATGAAGGGTTGTCCGCATTGATACGCGTAGGCTAGAGTCGTGGGTCAAGTAGGCTCAAGCTTTAGGAGACTCCCACACTTCCCCATATTCTCTTCGTTAGATCAGTTCAGGGAAAGAAATCCATCCTACAAGCGAAACATGACTACATTTTGAACTTATAGCCCTAGACACGCCCTGAGGCATCATGCAAACATTCGAACGAACAAAAGAACATGCTCAAACAAATCAGTCAAAGTCGCTTGCTCATCCTGCCTTCAAAAGCCGACAGACAGCAGATGATCTAAGTATATGCCATAAAGATACAAACAATGTCCAGTACATACACAACCCCCAAACCATTACAGAATCCCCGGATCCACAGTATATACACACCCAACCCCACACTCCCTCCCCCCTCAAATCTCGGCACCAGGCACACACCCCCAACTACACCCCAACCTCCGGAACGGCAACGGCCGCAGAGTCTCCCCGGACGGCCGCGGGCCCTTCAACCCGTTCTCATACGTGCTGCAGTCCCACCACTCGATCCATTCGGTGCGCGCGAGCACGAACCCACGGTGACACACGGAACAGCTGCGGCCGCCGGCCGCGCGCACCTCCCTTGCGTCGCGCAGCAGCCGCAGCATCAAGGCCGGGTAGCCGGCCAGCTCCGCGTCGTGGAGGAGATCGAATGCCGGGGAGCGGGTGAGCGAGAGGAGGGCGAGTTCGCGGAGGGAGGGGACGCGCGAGGCAGTTGGAGGCATCACGTCCTGGGGGGCAGCGTCGGCGTCGGTATCGAGCTCCATTGCCGTCAACTGCTGCTGCAGCTCGACCGGCAGCAGCACGCCTTCAGCATTGTAGCGACGGACGGGCCCCGTGGCGACGTGCACGGGGGCCCAGGCTTCCTCGGGCGCGGGGCCGTCGTAGACGCACGACCGCAGCTCGCGGGGGACGTGCCACTCAGCCACGACCGCCGCTGCCGCCTCGTCTTGGTCCCCGTCATCGATCTGCAGAAGCGGGTTCGGGCGCACGGTGAGATGCTTCAGGTCGCCTTTGCGGATCAGCCACAGCAGCTCCCAGGGGAGGGTGCGCAGCCGGTTGACGGAGAGGTTGAGCTCCTGCAGCATGGTCAGGCGGCGGATCGCGGGCGGGATCGCGGTGAGCTTGTTGTTGCGCAGGCTCAGGACACGCAGCGTGTCCAGCTCGAAGAGCTCGCCGGATAGCGTGGGCAGGGCGTTCCCCGCGAGGAACAAGCGCAGGAACGGCTCGAGCGAGGTGTACACGTCTTCCGTGACGGGGGGTTCCGTGATGGCGGGGAGTTTGGTGAGGTGCTGCAGCGGACGCAGCAGGCCGGATGGGATGCTGCGGAGGTTTCCGCCGCTGGGTGTTGTTAGTGTTCATGCTCATGCCTCCTTGGCGGATCAGAGTTGAATTCTCAGGGCAGAAACTCACCTCAAATCCACACTATCATCCCCCCTCTCCAGACAGTCGTTCACAATCGCCCGCGCGATCTGATGCTCCCTGGGCTCTTCCTCGATTCCACGCCTCAGCCCTCCTCCCAAGGTAGCTCTCTGACCCTGACCGAGCGAACTCGTAATTCCAGAAACCTGCTCCCCCCATTGCTGCTGCTGCTGCTGCCCCAGTTCCACCTCCCCCCCCACCCCCTCCTCCCTCCTCTTCCCATTCCCAATCCCCTTTCCAATCCCATCAAGCCCACCCTCCCCATTCCCATCTCCAACAAACTGCCCCCAAACCTCCTCCCCCCACGACGCATCAGAGCCCAAAAACCCTCCCGCCACAGAATCATCACTCCCCATCCAAACCCCACTATCCACCAACCTCTTCTCTCGAAAATCCACCCTCTTATTGCGCTTGGGACCCTCTTGACCTTGCGATGGTTGCGGCTGATGCCCCCCCGACGACATCATCTTCTCCCCCCACCACGTCCCGCGATACCGGCGCTTCCGACTCCCAGACCCTGAAGGGTGATGAGAATGATGTGTGGTGGCGGTTGCGTGGCTGGCACCCCCCGTTGCTGCCGCAGCAGAGCCGGTGTAGTTCTCCAGCCCGCCGGAGCCGGGGACATCGTCGCTGGAGAAGAAGGCGGGGTCGCTGGAGGGTTGGCTGGAGCGGTCGTCGCAGCGGGAGCGGGCGGTTAGGGTGAGGCGGGAGTGGTGGTTGTGGTGGTTGTGGTGATTGTGGTGGTTGTGGTGGTGGCGGCGGGTTGGCGAGGCGCGGTGGTGAATGCGACGCGGGGGTGGTGGGAGTGGGGGATCGAGGGTTGGGTCCATTTTGTGCTCGGTTGCACTTCAAAAGATGTGGTCGATGAAGAGGTGTAGTAAAGAAGACAGAAACAAACCGCACCCTCTCGCCTCGAGTGTGGGCTGTTAGCAAGGGAACTTGGCGCGGCGATCGGGGTGAATCAGATCAGATCACCCTGTCCGTCGGATAGAATGACGTCCGAGAGAATGTCGATCAACTGGGACTGGGAAAGATTGGGCGGCGCTAGTTGGATTACACTAGCCCTTCTTGATGCTGGGCCTGCATGTCACAGCTGTCATTTAGGAAATGCTTGAGGAATGTTTGTTCGCGACGGAGTTGAAGAATGGAGGGGTTCCCTTTTTTTTTTTCTTGTGGTGTTGTTGTTGGAGACGCGTCGCGCTGGTTCGGAGCGGGGCGATAAGTAGTCACTTACTACAGATTGAGAACACTACCTACCCAAGACCCTTATCCGGGTCATTTTTTGCAGCTACAGTACTGAACGGCTATGTCTAGGTTCACTGTCTGACTCGGATTTTATTCTATTTATCTAGACTATTTCTGCGGACAAAAAATGGTCAAGTAGATTGGGGGTCGGCCACTATACATTGGATTCACCACTACATATGTGCACCGCTTCCAAACTCACAGCGAGACCCCAAGAAAGTAAGAAAAAAAAAATAGGTATATAAACTAAATTCCCCGGAGAGATACTTGTGCTGGTCACCACCAGCCATCAAATCCATCAACTCGTCATATCTGAAACGTCATAAAGGGGTATATGGGTCCATAACCGAGCGTCCCATCCGGATTCCTGATCGCGATCAAGAAACCAGAGGTCGAACGAAGAGAAATTAAGTATAAGCGACGAAAAAAAAAATAAATAAGAACAGTTGGAAAAGTGATAAAGAGTCTGGTGGTCATGATGTGTAAGGTTGAACACAATTAATTTCGACCAAGTTGGCAATGGTTGACTCTGTTGACTTTGCTCACAGAGCGCCCATGATCAGTGCCAGAGATCCGGCGACAAGCGCAACAGGCATGCCAGCGGTGTTGACGTGGCCCGCGCCAGTGAAAATGGAAGACGCGGTGGCGGAGGCACTGGCCGAAGGAGCGACGACAAGCGAGGTCGGGACGGCAGAGGAGCTGACAGCCACCGAGCTGCTAATCAGAGGAGCGCTGGGTGCCTGGGTGGGAATCAGCGGTGCGGACGTGGTCGACGCGCTCGAGGAGGTCACGGTGTCGACATGAACCAGCGTCCGCGTGAGGAAAGTGGTCACCGTCGAGGTGGAGGTGGTGTCAGCGTTTGCGGCGACAAGCTGGGCAGCCGCCAGGCAGAGCAGGGAAGAGGCAACAGCGCTGATCTTCATCTTGATGGTTTGGATTGTAGTATGGCTTGAAAGGATCGAGTACCGGGGTCGGACAAGATATATATGTGAAGTGGCAATGAGGCGAGCGCAGCTACCGAGTCAAAGGAATGAGTGACAGGCGACGGACAAAGACGCGAATGAGTGAGCGTCTGAGTGACAATGCCGGTTGGAGAAGAGTTTCCGTAGGTGGAGCGCTGCTCGAAGCCGAACGAGTGTGAAACAAATCGATGTTTGATGCGACGCGCCGGGGTAGCAGGAAAGAAAAAGGGACGGCCGTGAGCGAGGCGGACCCGGACCCTAAATAAGAACCCAAAAAGAGCCCCTAGGAAAGTTCGAGGCCATCGGTCTCGAGCCCGTCACAGCCAGAGGCACCGCAAGCCCACAACACGATGGGTCGGGAAAATTCCTCGGCGAGTCGCAAGGGGCGCTTTGAGCCAAGTCGATTGGCTCTGGGGCCGTCAAGAATGCCCCGGGGACATTATTCACGTCGAGTCGTCTACACGGCGCCTGCCGAGAACAAAATCACGGCGCCACGAAGCTCCGCCAGCACATCCGGTGGCACCGGTACAGTACGTACTGCGTTGGCGGTCGTGATCTGGGTTGAGGTGGATGAGAGCCCGACTCCTTTCTCGCCTCTGGGTTTTTCTCATGCAGGCTTATCCCGGTCGAGTATAAGGACGATTGGATGTGGGCTCTAGCGAGGTCACTAACCCGACCAGGCCCCGTATTAGCTTTGGTTCCTGAGAGTGTCAGCCCAATGACGAGACAGTTGGATCCGGATCCATGGAAGAGGGGTCTGGCGGTCTTACCAGACAGGGTTTGATGGTCGCGAAGCTAGTCTCACTCGTTTTGACTCGTTTTTTGCTGACCCTTGATTGAGTCCGAACCCCTGGATCAATACGGATTCGCCCGGATGGTTCCCAAGGCTAATTTGATTTTCTCTTTCATTCTGCAGTGCTCTTTCTCTGCCCCTCTTCCCTTGCGTTCGTGTTTTGTTTCATCTGTTTGTGCGACATGACGCTTTGTCTGTGTGAAGAGGAGGAAGGTGTCTTGGTTTTCCTTTGGTTTGGATTGTCTCCGTTTCTTTTGTAGGTGGAAGAGAAATGGAAATGAAGGGAAAAGGGGAGGTGGGCGTGATGACTGATTAGTGGGCGCTAGGCCGACACTAGAAGCGTCTGAGGCACCCACTCACCCACTCTCTCACCCACTCTCTCCACCCGTTCCTGAGGCAAAGGGAAGCAGTCTTTCTTCCCCTTGCAGTGTGCAATCAAATTAACCGGGGATCCTTTGGGTTGGGGTCCGCTCCAACGCACAACAACAACAGCAACCACAACGACCACAACAGCCACAACAACAAAGCGCCATGTTCCGTAAATTTGTAATCTGGAGCTACTGCCTGACTTGCAGCTACCGTCACACCGGTGATCCTTCTATCCACGCCTACAAAATAGTGTTGTCCATTGTCGTCCTCGTGGCCACCCGTGACATCTCGAATAGCCTCAATCAGCCACGACCATAGATCAGGAGTTATTTGGGACATTGGTCTAGTGCACGGACCATAGCCGCAGTCAAGCACCACCAAGAACAATCGCTGAGCTTAGGATGCGGTCCCCATGAAGAAAAGGGGGGTCATTATCACCGCTGTTTTCGTTACACTACGCAGTGCGCACAGTGACTGGGGAGACAGACGAGGTGCTTGGCAAGGATGTACAATGACTTAGGGGCTCAAAATCTCTCAAATGGTGCCATCGAAAGCCGGCCTGGGAGTCTCGGGAGCAACTCGGAAAGGACCGCTATCCAGCACGAGGGTTGGCGTTTGGCTTCCAGGACCAGCCAGCTCGAGAAGAGCCTTGCTCGGCTGCATTTGACCCCACTTTAGTCCGAGCCTTCAGTCATCATCATTGCACCAGCTCGTGTGTCGATTTCGTGCTGTTGTGAAGTGGCGAAGAAGCCTGCGGATAACGCGCTGGCGTTGCCAAAGTCTACTCAATGCCATCAATGACCGCATCGGTGCTGTTGGTCCCGATTAGAATATACTGTACAGTACGACCATTTGCCCCAGTATTCGGAGTTGAATGCTGAAAATCTCTCAAGTCTGTCTTGTCGCTAGTCAGTCGACGCTCTAGACCCTCTTCAGATCGAGCGATTCCTTCAAGTCCTAAGCAGAGGGCCCTGAACCCGTTCTTGCCATTGGAACCCCTCATCCCAGGATTATTGTGTTCAGGAACAGACGCATCTAGCACTTGCAGTGGTATGCAGTGGTGTTCTCTAGAGGAAGGGTAGGGCAAGCCCAACCTCAGAATGAAAGGGCCAGAAGGTTCGATACCTTCAAGGATTCGAAGGGAGGGGTAGATACAAGTTTTCCGATATTGTCGTTATCGGCGCCGGGACCCTGCACTTCCCGATGATGGAAAAGAAAACCCCGCACATCCGGACAGGGTTGTTATACGATAGAACAATTTTCCGGGCTTGAGTTGCGGCAAATGACCGCGGCGATAATGGACCATTCACTGGGCTCGAACCTGCTGCACAGATTGCCTTGACCAAAAGTAGATAACCGAAAGCATTCGTGTCAATTGATGACAATTGATAGTATATATCCGCACAGAGACCAAGGATGGCACGAAATACTCAACTCAAACTTCAAGAAAAACTCATTGAAGCCTGTTAGGGATCGTGACTAGTCTGCTGCTGTGGATAATGGAAATATATTTGCCTTCCACCTGCAAAGTGTGATTGCCTTGTTCCCAGATCGTTCGTGGAAAGGCAGGACGGGGACCTCGTAAGTAGGTGATGTTCCTGATCATGTCCCATTGCTAAGGTTCATTTCGCAAACGAAAAATCCAGTGACTTGTGTGGAAAATACTGAAATCAGCCCTCGCGACTGGATTTGTAGAACATGTCCGACCGGCAAGAGCCGACTCATAGCTGATGTTCGGTATTCGCAGTTTGCAAGCCAGAGCTCAAGACTGGATTTGTCTGTATAAGGGCCTGCAAAAGACCTTCCCAAGGCATTATTAGTCAGCCGTTGATCAATGCTGCTAGTAGTGACAATTGAAGTGGAGATTCTAGGTCGAGAAAGTGAGAAGGTTGCATTTCGGATAAACCCAGGGTAAAAGGTTCTTCATCGAGGAAATCACCCGAGTGTAGTGCTGTGCTTCAATGGAAGTAAAACCAGGTAGAGGGCCACATCATGTTAGTGGGGTAGAAAAGACACGGAAGGGCAGAGTAGTCATTTGTACTAGGCGACGCTATATTAGTCCTATAGACTCTGAACTTAGCCTTGCAAGCTTTCTACCACGAGACTCGCGGTACACATCCAGTAAGCAGTATAAAAAGGTCCGGTTGCCGGTATACCGTCGTAGTAACCGAGCCGATATCCTTCCTGAGCCCCAGGCTTCATTAACGGCTGTAGGTCCTGCCCGGGTACACTTGAAATGTTCTGCTTTGATAAAATGCTCTTAGCTCGTCGGCAATAGTAGGTCCTCGCACATATATAGCTACAAGGTTCGGACTGATCAAGAGGCTATGCGATGGGTGAATTTTGCGGAGTATTCAAAGCTGTTAGGAAACATGCAGCTGGCTTAACGCCTATAGAGGGCGGCCATGACAAAGGCAGGAAGATTGAATTTATTATTGGCTTCGTGATCACGAGTTCTAGCGTTTCGAAGAAGCATGACCGTTGCTTTAACTCCCATTGCAGGCTCAGTTTGTAGCGGTGGGGCATCTGTCTCATGTTAGATATCAGTATTGAGATGGTCCTAGCATGGCTTGTTCTCGGGCTCGGGAACCAGTCATGAGGTAATAGTCGACGCATCAGCACGGCTAAGAACTGAAATTCCTTGAGAACCTGAAAGCTATCGATAACTGCGTCACTGAGGTTAGGTGCATCTAGCCACTCACCACAGCCACGGAACTCGCTGGCATCATGGATAGGACTCGATAAGGCCTGCTGGATGTGGTAGATGTGATTTCGTAATAG